TGGGAACCTTTAAAATGCCCAAATTTGGCAGGATGCAAGAGTTTTACAATTTAATATTAATAATATATGAAAAAGTCAATAATAAAAATGCAGGATAGCCTCATAGAATCTCAGATTAAGAAGGTAACTCAGAAGCCATTGAGATGTTCATCTTCTCATTCAAGGGCATAAAGCTGCTTGGTGGAGAGAAACATCATGGGCGTGAATGTCAGACATGCCGGATCCTACTAGCACATGACCTTGAAGAGATTACTTTGAGCCAGAAGTTTAGGGCCACACTGGATCTGCCTCTTGTATTTAATTTGACTTCCACAAGTTTTTTTTATTTTTTAATTACAGAATTATAGAGTGGTTAAATAAAGAACTTTATAGGCAGGTGACCTGAGTTAAATTTCAAGTCCATTAACTAAGTGACTGTGTGATCTTGGGCAGGTCACTTAACCTCTCTCACTGTTTTCTCATGTGTAAATGGGGTGATTAGAGTCCCCCAAAAGACTGTCATGCAATGTAATGAGTAAATGCATATTTAAAACAGTGCTTGGCACCTTGTAAGAGCTACATAAGAATTTGCTAATGTTTTAGCTTTTTTTAAAAAAAATCTAGATTCGGCGCCTGTGGCTCAAGCTGCTAAGGTGCCAGCCACATACACCTAAGGTGGCGGGTTCGAATCCAGCCCGGGCCCGCCAAACAACGATGATGGCTGCAACCAAAAAAAAAAAAAAAAAATAGCCGGGCGCCTGTGATCCAAGCTACTTGGGAGGCGGAGGCAGGAGACTTGTTCGAGCCCAGGAGTTGAAGGTTGCTGTGAACTGTGATGCCACAGCACTCTGCCCAGGGGGACAGCTTGAGGCTCTGTCTCAAAAAAAAAAAAATCTAGATTTGTGGTTTTCTTGACAAAACTGGAAGATATGATAAGCTCTTGCAATGCTTGGCTGAAAGGGAGTAGCCACTGCCCCTGCAGCGAGGATAGGCCCTGCCTCCCAGGTCCCCGCCACCCCTGCCCCTCCTGTGCCTCCTCTTTGTCATGTTGCCAGCCCATCCCCCTTTAGTGCCTGAGCTTCCGCTTGGTCCTAGGAATAAATATATCCATTTCTATTTACGAGTACAAATATGCTAAACCAAATATATCCAAATGAACTAAATGTATCTATGTTACAAGGTTGGGACAGGAGTAAACAAGCAACTTCTCCTAAAGCCCCTGTATCACTGTGCAGGACATGTCAGAAGCACACAGTAATCTTGAACTCCCTCTTGCTGGAGGATCTCACAGCCTGTTCATCTGGCCTCTGGGCGCACAGTGCTTGTGATGGGGAGCTCACTAACTTACAGAGCAGTTTCGTTGCTGAGTCTTTGTCATATTCAGAGCCAAGAATCAGCAACTTCGTTCACTACCTTGCCTGAAAGCCTATTTAATTTCCAGTACACCTCTCCTGGAACCTCGAGTATCTGTGTGCTTGGTGGAAGCTCCAGGTTTTAGAAATGCCTCTAAAGAGTCCAATATGTCGCATGCTGATGGTTCAGTATCAGCAGCTGAGGGGATTGGAGGAATAGCTGCTGATGGCAGGAGAGGACCTCACACTAGGTCATACCACGTCACATGTCAGAGCACAGGAGTCCAATCTGGGGTCCAGTCCCTGCCTTACCATTCTCTAGCTGCCTTCTGTCTCCTTTTCTGTTGGGTGAAGATAGTAAGACCCTCTTGATAAAAAAGGTCATTCAAGCATCTTTTTATTTTCCTTTGAGTCTACGAGTCTTACAGCCATAGCATAGGAATGAAAACAGAAAGCCTTCCATGTCCCTCCCCACGGCCTCCACAACCTCCTCCCACCAGGCGGCAACAGAAAGCTGCTTCCAGGCAGGGGTCTGGGAGCACAAGTGCCACAGCCTTGTCTCAGGTCCCTCAAAGCAGCTAAGACTTTCACAATCCACAGAAACAGTTCTTTTTCTTTAAGAATAAAACCAAACATTACTTTCCAGACTGACTGATGCCTCTGGTTTGTCAGGGCAGCAGAAGACAGGTGGGCAGTGGGGCTAGGAGAAATCGCGCCCTGTCCCAGGAACTGAGTCAGCTCCTCAGGGCTACCAGTGCTGGCCTGTCTTGCAGCCTTGGAATGGGCAGGCAGCTGGTCACTTGGGTAAAGAGCAGCCTGTGGCACAGGCTGATGGTTTGGGTGAAGGAAGGAAGAGGCCCACAGACTTGGGAGGCAGGACCATGCCCCTAGGGTTGTCTGGTTTCCTGTCCAAATTTCTTTGCAGCCATCAACACCTGGGGGCTCTGCCCCATGGCTGGCAGCCTTTCAGGAAGGGCTGAATGGAGAAGGATACTATTCTTGTTTGTTTGCAGTGTCCCCGGGAATACTGGCGAAGGATGGTGCTAATGAAAACTTGGTCAGCATAGTCAGCATAGTCTGAAAGTGTTTGAGCAGCAAGTCTGTGCAGGAACTGGGAGCTGAGGGGAAAAATCACTGGCTGGGTGATCCTGGCCATGTCACATGAACTTGCTAGGACTCAGCTCCCTGTTCTATAGAAGGGGGATAATTGTACAGAAATCATAAAGGGTTGATAGCAGGATTGGGTGACATCAAGCATGTGATGGTGCTTTGCTGTCTAGGGGCGAGGAAGATTATTTTTTAAGGGAAGGAAAGTGACTTGCCTGAGGTGATCCAATGAGTTCCCATAGGAGCCAGAATCAGACCCAAGTCCCCTGCTGCCCTCTACATGAAGCTGAGTTGTTCCTACAAGAGAGTGCTCGTGTTCACACAATTCACCATGGTTCTGGGAGACTGGCTATGTCCTGTGTCCTTGGAGAGCCCATGGCATCAGGTTGCACTTGTGCTCAGAGGTTCGGTAAATGGGAATAGGAAAGTTCATGCTGAGCGTGATGATAGCAGACCTGAGGAAAGAAGGCCTTGATTTGTCTCTTTGATGTGGAACTCAAATTCAGTGAGCACCTGCTGGGTACTGGATGCTGTGCTAGGCTCCATGGATGCGCCAGTGGATAAGTAGATGTGGCCCCTGCCGTCACGTGGATAATGGGGACTGTGCTTGTGAGAAGGCCATTGCAGTCCATGTGGGTTAACAGTACCCTAAAGGAGTGGGTGAGACCCCCTGGAAGGGTGTGTGAGAAGCCTCTGAAGGGCAGGACATTCGTGCAAAGCCCTATAGCAATGGACGTTCTGGTCAGACAGGAGATGGGCTAGGGCCAGAACAGGGACTTTGGGGCTCCAGGTGATATTGGGCATGGCTAGAGGGGGAGTGCAGCAGGGGATAGGGGATCAGTGAGAATTGGTGGGAGAGGAGCTGGAGAGGTGGCCAGGGCTAGATGGTGCCCTGAGCCTTCTGGGCCAAGGAAAGGGTAGGGCTTCCTTCTGAGGGTAGTGAGACCTCCAGGCTTGGAGGAGTGGCAGGACCAGACAGATTCAAGGAAAGATCCTGCTGGCTGTTTTATGAAGAAAGGATACAGGGGTATAGGAGAAGAGACAGTGGCCAAGGCCGAAGGCAGACATGGCACTCTTAGAACATGTACAGCTACAGCATTATGACTGCGCTGGGGGACTGAATGTGGGGAGGGAAAGAAACGGAGCCATGGGTGAAGGAGCTGTTCATTGAGACAGGGGCCCAGCAGGAGAAGCTGCAGGTGGAGGAACTGGGGAGAGGCTCCAGGCACATAGGGGTCTGAGGTGCCTGAAGACCACCAAGGGTGATGCTGAGGGCCAGAGGATGTACAGTAAGGTGGTTAGAGCTGGAGAGAGAAGGGACAGCCATCAGTGCCCACGTGGAAAGTTACCTGGGAAAGGTGGGAGGTGAGAGGGGCACAGGGTGGAGCCTGGGGTGCCAGCATAAGAAGGAGTTTACAAAGAAGACACAATCAGGAGAGAAGAGGGTCACCAAGGCCAAGCATCTGCCCCTGGGGTAGTGCAGGGTGTGGAAGGTCTCACACTCAGGCTAAGAATCCACACCTCACCTGAGCTCCATGCCAGTGTTGCCCACGGCTTCATGAGTCAGAATGCTCTTCCTCCTGGAAGTGTGCCAGGATCCCCTTTCTTGCGCCCACTGCCTGCCACAGCCTTTCCTACCCTGTCTGGACTGGACACCACACATGTATGGCATTAGACCAACAAGATGGCCAGTGGGATCCTACTGAGCCTGTGGGACAGTGAGGGCTGCCTTCTGAAGGCAGAAGTAGGAGCTTTTCTATTGGGTCTTCAGGGGCATCTGTGGCCCTGAGCTCCAGCAAGGGGGGCTGGCTACCTCAGCAGGCTGCTGAAAGCTGGTGGCACTTCCTGGCATATCCCCAAGTGCTGAACCAAGGGCGCTGGGAATCTGGGTCCCGCGGAGCTCCTGGGATAGAAGTGAGGGAGAGCGAGCAGGGCTTCTGGCTTCCAGACTCTGGAGCTTAGGAAACAGTGATGGTCCCTATTACCCCTCCTCACAGGAACATCTGGGTGGCTTCCTGGCAGACTGCAGAGACTTTGGAGCAGGCAGGTTTGGATACTGGTTCCGTCTATCTCGGGCAAGTCTCTGTCTCTGAGCCTCAGGGTCTTAAGAGCTCTTTGTTGTGAAGTGGTTGTGGTTTAATTTGACAAATTCCCAGGACAGCCTGAGCACTCAGTAAATGGTAGCTGCCAGACACGCTGCAGCTGTCTCATTATCATCAGTTTTACTGTCACTCTGTTGGCCTACAGTGGCTGTTCTTATGAGCAAAGCTGCTGCTGGGGCTGGCTCTGGAGAGGTCTGGGGACCTGTGGCTTCACTTCCTCTGGCAAGAAGCACCAGTGTACGCAGCTGCACTTGTCCAAGGGGCAGGGGCACAGGGTTCCATGGTGGACCTCCAGGGCAATTTGTTCCTCCCACCCCAGTGGTCGTCTCGGTTCTGCGGCCTCCATTCCCAGTGTCCATAACTGGCTGGATGAAGCTAGGAAGCGTGTGCGTCTTCAGAGGTGGGAACCTGCCTCTTCTCCTTTTTTTTTTTCCTTTACCATGACGCCTGTTGCTCATAGGTACAAATCAAACGAAGAGTATGTATATGTGCGAGGCCGCGGCCGAGGGAAATATGTTTGTGAGGAGTGTGGAATACGCTGCAAGAAGCCCAGCATGCTGAAGAAACACATCCGCACCCACACTGACGTCCGGCCCTATGTGTGCAAGCACTGTCACTTTGCTTTTAAAACCAAAGGTAAGAGACAGTCAGCTGGGGCACTGCCCCTGCCTGCTGCAGGGAGCTCCCCTCTGGGGGTCCCAGAACAGAGCTCAGGGGCCCAGACCTCTCTGCCTGGAGCCTGGAGCACCCCCTGCCCACTTCTTGGGTTCCCACCCTACTTGGTGCCCAGTGGCAGAGCAGCTGGCTCCGGACTGTGCCGTGGCACCCATGGCTGCTCCCAGCCGTCTTCCTGGATCCTGCACATAGCCCCAACCCGAGGCCACCCTGCTCTGCCCTACCCGCAGCACTCTCACACACAGCCCTGGTTTTGTACCTCCTCTCATCACCCCTTCCTGTTGCATGCCTCCTGAGCCATTTATCCACTGATCTGAAGAACTCCAGCATCGACACTGGTCACTGCCACTCTTGCATTCAGAAATCCATTCCACTCCGAACCACCACCACACTCGCATGCTCACTGCTCATGCCACAGTCCGCCCCGCCTCCACCTGCCTCTCCACTCCCCTCAGCCCCTGCACTGCCCAGCTTCTCTGCCGCTCTCAGCACAGGGCCAGACTAGCAGCTCTGTCACCCCTGTCCCCAGCCATGCCTCACATAAAGGTCAGGAAAGGCTCTGTAGTCACCTGTGAAAGGAAGGGCTGGCCGTTGAGGGCATGCATCTCAGAGCTGTGACGAGTAAGGGTGGCAGCCTAGTCTACTGCAGCCACGCAGGACCTGGTGCGGATGAACGAGCTGAGTCCATATGATTCTTGGATTGCACTCTCCCCTGCAGGGCACACAAAGAGGGTGCTCACTGCAGACTGGGGTGCCTCAGAGGGAGGCCCAGGGCTCTTGGCACCTCTGGTGGCTTCAACCTCCTGTGCGTTGCAGATTCCTGGTTCAGGGTCTGGACACAAGGGTCCTATCTTCTCCTTTGAACAAGTTGGGGGCCTCCCCCCAGCCACCTGGGAGCCATGTGGTTTCCCGGGGATGAAACTTGTGGGAAGCCTTTGGCTTTGCCATTTGTTGGCTTTTCTTCCATTGGTAAAGCTGCTTCCGGTGACAGTGTGGGCAGCCGCTTTGGAGAGGGCCTCCAGCCTTCCTCACTTCCTTTGTGCTCCTGTTGCCTCTCTGCACAAGGTCAAAGGCCAGGTCATCATCCCCTGGCTCAGTGGCCTCTTCTCTGACCAAGTTCCTGTTCCTGGTCTCCTGACTACATGGACAGACCCCTGCCCTCTGTCCTCTTGCCATCGTCCTCCTCAAGTTGAACTCAGATTTTCCTGCAAGGTTTTGGTTTAGATGGAGGTGCCTATCCTCCTACTTCCTTTCTCTGATCCCCTCTCTCTTAGTGCCTCATAACACTGTCCCAGAGGGTGCCCAGAGAGACCAGATGGGCCTGCAGCCCTCTCCGTGCCCCATGGGTACATCAAAGTCACTCTCCACCCCTTGATCCCTGCCATGTCCCACCTCCTGTGGCCTTAGGGCAGCTGCTTGGGATTTCATAGAAAAGAGAGATGGAAATTGGCTATTTAAATAAGTCTTGAATTCTGAAAACTTTCCCCTTGAAAGTGAAGAAAGTGATCGCAGAATGATGGTGAATGCTAGAACCCCAGGGGCTTGAACTCATAGACACATCCCACCATCTTCCTCTCTGGGAATATTTGTTCTCTCCCCTCTCTGGACAGGGTGGCAAGAAGCTACAATCCGGGTGGGTCACAACTGCTGTCCCCAATCCAGTATATGTCCATGGGACCACACTGTCTCACCCTGAGGAGCCCCAAAAGCCTCCCAGCCCAGGCCAAGCAGGGCACACCTGTGTCCAGCACACCACCAGAGCTATGCACTGCCCTGGGAGCCATCACTGACATGCAAGACTGGAAAAACCCATCTTGACTGAGTTCCCAACCCAAGTAATCTCCCAGGGGCACCCCTCTCGACTCCCTCTGCCTTGCCCATGTTGCCAGGTCTAAGAGAGGCCTGTGACCCTAGCAGGGCCCCCACCTTCCAGGACATGCCTTCACTGGAAGCCATGCCAAGCTTGTCTGCAGTCCCTTCCTGGGTCTCTCTGAGCCAGCACAGAGCCCTGGAGGGGCCCAAGGGCATGATCTGAACAGAGGGGCTGCAGACTTTTTGCATTTCCAGAGCTGGGAAGCATCCCCTGAGAGCAGGTCCATAGGGTGTGCTTTCAACCAGTGACCACGGTGTGTGCTGAGCGCTTCCTCACATGTGTGTAGTGTGAGGACAGAAGCCTTCCAGAGGCAAAGCAAGGGTTGGGTGGGAAATGGCAGAGTCTCAAACTCTGACCAGCAGAGCAGGGACCATGTTAGAGTGGTGGCAGATGGAAGCACACTCTTCATGATGAGTGTGGGGAGGGAAGACAAGGAGCTCCTGTCTGTCCCCATGGTCAGGTGTCTCTGCAGAGTGCTGGGTCCTATCAGTCACAGCTCAGACAGATGGCCCCTCCTGTCGGGCCGACTGCCTCCCCATCAGGTGGTCCTTGGTCCTGGGCCCTCCCAGGACCACCACCCAGCTGTGCCTGTGCCTGGGAGCCCTTCCTGTCTGTCTCTGTCTGCCGTCTGTGTCTCGTCTCTGTGTCAGACGTCGTGGCGGCAGTTCAGGCCTCTGGGAGCCAGCTGAGTTGCGTGGGGGGGGGGCAGGAGAGGCCTGCAGTGGCCCTGTGGAGGCCAGAGGTCCTGTTTCCTCTTCTCAGATGGTCCCCAGAGGCCAGCGGGATGGCTGTACTGTGTCCAGGCCCTTGCGCCGAACAGCTCAGGGGACAGAGATGGCAGCTGTGGACAGACTTCATGCCCACCAGGCTGGCAGGGGCGGAGGCAGGGCCATTGGTCAAAGCTGAAGGAGGCAGAAAGGGGCAGGGGGCAACCCTCTTAGCGGGGCTTCTGCCTCCTTCAGACGCCCGTCACTCCCCACCTGCTTGCCTCTCTCCCTCCATCTGGGGATGTCAGGCTTTCAGTGGGTGCTGGGGGACTGTGGGGAGCTGCGGACTCTGCCTGAGAAGCGGAGGCTCTGCCCGACAAGCGGAGGCTCTGCCCCTTGACAGGGAGGTGGTCTCCGGGCACCCGTATCCATTTGCTGTACCTCCTGCAATTCAGAGAGGAGACAGGCCCAGAGAGGGGCATTGCAGAAGGAGCCTGGACAACACTCAGGATGGCTCATCCAGCATTCACTCCTGTGACCCACAGAGTCACCTCCGACTCCCTGCCTCCTCCCTGTAGCCTCCTTGGTGGGGACAGAGGAGAGGCAGGCCTTTGGAGGGCCCTGGTGCCTTCTTCTGAGAGGCTCTGAGGCCTAGACTAAGAGGCAAAACCATTTCACTACGGGCATCATCTTAGCATCTCTCCTCCATACCTAGCATGGTGTGTGGCAGAGTCCCCGGTTCTCAATAGAGAGTGATTGCCATGATGGGGGGTGGGGGAGTCTGTTCTCTGCCAGTCACACTCTGCTGCCATCCGTATGCGCCACCTCATCAACTCCTCCCACATCCCACAAGGTAGGTGTTACTTCATAGCCACAGAAACTGGGGTTCAAAAGGTGAAAGAATTTGCCCAAGAGCCAGTAGCAGGAGCCCAGCCAAACCCAAGGCTACCAAGCTCCAAAACCATCTGGGTTCCGTTCTGCCACCTCATGGAGTGAGCAAGGACCCCAGCGTCCTGAGGCCTGGTTCCAGAAGGCACACTCTGTCTAACCAGCCCTGTGACTTTGGCTAGTTCGCTGCATTTGTTATAGGAGGCCTGCCAGCACCCGAGACAGCCAGTGACATTGCCTAATGGTGTAACCAGCACCTGGGTCCTGAGTGAGATCAGAAGCAGGGAAAACCCCGCCTGGTGGGGGTTGAGTTACTTGGGCTGTGAGGTGCCTTCCGGCACTTGATTTCTGAGATAAGAGGATCATTTCCCATACATGGCTATTGCATGCCTGACATCTAACTTGGCCGGATATAGACCAAAGGCAGAACATGTACACCAAGCAGTGCTCATAGTCCCCTGTGGCCTGAGGTAGTCAGGGGAGGGTGGGCCTGGTTCTAGAACCTTAGGACAGTTGGTATCTCTGACTCATGGAAGACCCCAGATGGCCTTTTCCCACCTCTTGACTGTCCTGCTCATGGCAGTGAGGGCAGAGGTCCATAAAGTTGGATGAGGCCCTTCGGAGACCCCTCAAGATGATTCTGGAAGTTATAGCTGTGCTCCTTCTATGGTCAGCAGTAGAACATCCAAGTTTCTGTCCAGTGGTAGGAGGAAAACCCAAACCAGGAAGAAGGACGGAGTCATGGCCTGGGACCACAGGGAGGAAAAAGGAGGGGTACAGTGCCTCTCCCATCCCTGCTACTCTTGCCTCAGACACCTAAGGGAATCCCAGCTACGGCTCCCCATTGACATCTTAGCAACACTCCAAAAATTCAAGAATGATTAAGAAGCACCCTTTGGTTCATCCAGGGGCTCTCTCCCTGTTCACCTTTTCATCCATCCATCTCTCCTACCCGCTCATGTAATAGTCTTCCTGTCCATTTATGCTTCCATTTACCTTCTCATCCTATCCTCATTCGCTCCTGTTGCTCCCCCATTTGTCCTCCCACCCATCCTTCTTGCCACCTAACTTCCCATTCTTCTCTTCTCCTATGCATTTACATATGCCCACATCCATTCATCCATCCCACCAACCATTCTTCCACTCATCCAGGACTGCATCCTCCCATCCAGCTCTCATCCTCCCTTCTTCTTATTGGCCCATTTGCATCCATCTTTCCATTTCTTTTCTTCATCTGCTCATCTAACCCCAACTGTCCATTTAATCTTATCTACTCATCTAATGTTCCATCCCTCTCTCGATCTACCTCCTGTTCTTCCATCTCTCTATATTTCCTCTGTTCATGTATCTATCCATCCATCCACTAGTCTCTCTGTACATCCATTCCAGGAGGCTTACCTCTTTCCATTTTTCTCTCTGTCCATTCAAATTTACCAATTAATAAGATTAATAAGACAGAACATTTGAATCAGAGAACTTATGATTTAGCATGTGAACGACCATATGGAAATACAGACATCCCAGAGCAGCAGTGAGGACATCACAGTTTGGGAGCAGGCCCAAAGGAACATTCTGGACATCTGGCCTGTGTTCTCCTGGGGCAGACTAGGATGCTCTGCCTCTTTCTTTCCAGAATATTCCTGTCCACAGGGCTTTGTTGCCCGTGCCATGCTATATACACGTGGGGAATGGAAGCTATTGTTAGTGTTCCCCTGATTCCCAGAGCTTCTGCCCCTGCCCGCCAGCCTATGGGGCTGGACCCATAACTGGAGCAGAGTTGACTCCCCTCCAAGGCTTTGTAGGCATGGAGCAGGGTAGAGCCATACTTGGGTCTTCCTTGACTCAGCCTAGTCCTGTGTCCTCACTGTACATTGGCCTAGGGAAACTAAAGCCCAGGAAGCAACTTCTCTAAGGAAATAAGACTTGGGCCCCCAGCCTGTGGCTCTGAGGTCCCTGGCCAGTCGATGTCCCTCCTCTCAGCTTCTGACCCCTCTCCATTCCCAGTATTTTTGTCCTGGCTCTTCTTCCAGACCCTAAGATTCTGCCCTGTGAGCTGTTCTAGGAGTGTGGCCACCTGCCATGCTAGTCAGTGGGAGCCTCCCATGGCATCCCAGCACCTGAGATAGTCCAGAATTCTGTCTGAAGAGTGTCATCAGCTCTGTGCCCAGCCTTAGATCAGAAGCAGAAAAAAACTATTGCAATTGAGTTGTCTTTTAATTTCTTTTTTGTTTGTTTTTTAACCAGCATCTCACCTCCTCATTATACCCTCTGTCCCCTCACAGCCCCTTGCCTACCCACCCCCAGCTCATGTGTACCACCTTGAATAGCAGCTGTGGCTGCACATCTCGGCCAGGGCTGAGGATGCCCTGGCCCCTGCTCAGCCCCTGCAGCTGTCAGGCCCTCCACTGATCTGAAAAGCCATGGTCTGCCAGCCAGGTGCTGCCTTCATGAGCCCGGGCCCACCCTGGCTTCCTGCCCTACGACAGAGCCTAAGTCTCTTCTCATTTCTTTTCAGGGAATCTGACTAAGCACATGAAGTCGAAGGCCCACAGCAAAAAATGCCAAGAGACAGGGGTGCTGGAGGAGCTGGAAGCCGAAGAAGGTAACGAACTGCCATCTTCCTCCTTCACCCTCTTCCTTCCTCCCCATTTGCCTGCCCTCCTCCACCTTTCCTCCCTGTCCGCCTTCCTTTCTGTCCTCCTCTCCTCTTTTCTCCTTCTCTCTTTCCTTCCCATGTCCTTTCCCCCAGTTCTCCAGCTACCTGGAGACAAGGTTAAATTCAGCAAGATGCCTTCCATCTCAGCACGTGCTTTCGGTCATGGCTACCATGCATTATAGTCTGTCTAGCCCCATGGGTGCTCAATAAATGTTTACCGATTAAATGAACCAATCAGTTCTTACAGTCCATGTTAGTTGAGCACCTGTTGTCAGGCATGTTCTAAGTGTGTGCCCTGAAATATCTCAGCAAACTGTCATGATGGTGTTGTGATGTTATGTACTCTTGTACATAAATCACCTTTACATGTGGCACCCACACTTGTGCCACACACTCAGGCATGGGCCTGACCCAGGGGCCTTTTGGGGTTAGGAGGATTTCAAGAAAGCTAAAACCAGATCTGACAGTTCCTTGTCTCATCTCAATCCCATCCTACTGCCACACCCGGCCAGGATCATCCATCCATCCTAGCAGGCATATTAGAGCCAGTCTCTGAAGATGCAGGACAGGAGATGAGTCAAAGGCAGTGGGTCTGGCAGAGCGTTGTCCAGCCTCAGCATGCAGGCAGGAGGCCAGAGGGGCCTTGGCAGTGGACAGCAGGCCCTCCAGCAGGAGGAGGCTGGAGGCCTTCCTTTAGCATCAGGCAAATCTTTGGCCACAAATTTCCCCAAAATCACTACTGGGACTTAAGAGGAGTGCATGTATGTCTGTGTGTATCTGGATTTTTGTTTGTTTGATTTTTCTGATTAGGGGATGCATTTGCAGTCTTACAAAAGAGTTAAATCATTATTGCCTTTCAGGTGGAATAAATCACCTTTACATAACAGAATGCAATGAACCTGGAATTGTTGCCCAAACCTAGACATGGGTTTACCATGCCCCAAGAAAGCACATGGGGCCATTTACAGACGTCCATCACTGAGTTCTCCTAACAGGTGGTAGAAACTGGTGCTGCCCCATTTTAAGCAGAGGAAAGTAAAGCTCAGACAGGTGAAGGCAGGTACCCAGATCACACAAAAGCTCCAGGCCTCCCCACTGCCTAGTGAGCTGGACCAGGAGCCTAAGCTCAACCCAGAGCTCTCCCTAGGTGGTCCCTGTCCCCCTCCCAGCCTCATTTTCCCAGGGGGGCAAACAAGGATGACCACCTTTTGCAAGGATGAAATTCATGCGCATTCGTTGCAGAAGTAATTACAGAGCACTAGCTCCTTTCCAGGCTGTGTGGAAGGTGCTGGAAACTCAGCCGTGTATAACACACCGCTCCTGTCTTCAGGAAGCCTACATCCCAGAAGGGAGCCCTAAGTGAACAAATGCGGGACAGAGCAGGGATGATGGGTATGAAGAAGCAAAAAGTAAAGGTTGGGCGTGTAGGGATGGCAGGTGGTGTGAGCAGAGAACTTGGGTGAAGCCGGGGCTCCGTAGCCGGCAGGGTCTGGGAAGAGCGCGCCCCCCGAACAGGGATCAGCGGGCGCGGGGCCTGGAGAGCCTCAGTGCTCGGTCCGCGTGGCTGCAGCCGGCTCAGCGCGGGGCCACGAGGGGCGCGGGAGCACATAGCTGTCCTCCGGGCGTGCGGGGCGCGCAAGCGAGGCAGCCACCAGGGCCGGGCGCACGTCAGGGTTGAGGGGTGATCGGGCTCCCACTGGTTCTGGAGGAAGCGCCCACAGGCGTTGGTGGTGCATGGCAAAGTGGAGATGGGAGAGATTGGTAGGAAAAGAGCTAGGGATGACTCCGACGTTAGGGCCCCAAAAACTGGAAGGATGAAGCCGCCGCTTCCCGCGGTGAGCCGGCCGCAGGGAGCAACCGCAAGGGGTCTAGTCCGTGAGCGTAGGACGCAGAGCGCCAGCGGGGGAGGACAGCCGGGAGCCATCGCCTCCTGCCGCCAGTGCCTCAGCCCAGCCTCTGGCGCTGACCAGGGTAGGCGCCAGCGCCACCGTGTGGCCAGTGCCGGCGGCGCCCTCAGCGCACTCCCCTCGGGCTTGCCGGGCAGCCACTGGACCCTGCGCAGGCGGGTGGGTCTCCTGCAACGTTGGCTTTGACCCCAGCAGGGGCCTCAGTTCCAGGAGGGGCGTCGGGAGTGGGCCAACTGGCCAGGGCATCACCCAAAGCCTGCAGGAACCCAGATGTAAAGAACCCGACAAACCCTGAGCAGGGCAGGGAACCTTTGGTTCCCAGCATTCATGCCCTGGGTGCCCAAAACAGGCCAACATCAACTCTAGGCCTCGGCTTCCCTATCAGTAAAGAAAGCCTTTGGAAACCCTTCCTGCTGGACACCAGGACACTCTTGTTCTGATACTGCCTCACTGGTATCATCATCACCCTTACCTCCATCTGCAAAGGGCCATGTGTCCCCAGCTACCTGCCTACTGGGAGTGGGGAGGAGGAGGTAGAGGCTGGAGGTGACAGCAACTGAAGTTTATTGGGTACTTATTAGGTTCCAGCCTCTCACAGTCCTACAATAGCTTAATGAGGAGGTATTTATTATCATTACCCCATTTTATAGATGAGGAAACTGAACGCAAAGAGAAAGTAAATTATCTTAACATCATACCACAAAAAAGTAGTGGTGCTAGGATTCAAACCCAAACCATTTCCTGCTTCTTGAGACATAAAATCATTTTTAAACTGTCAATGTGATAGCCCAAGAGTAGTAAACTTTAGTTCTGACTCAGCCACCAGCTGGCTGGATGACCTTGAGTAAGCACTTGCCCCTTCAGCCCTTGGATTTCACTACATGTAAATAAGGGGTAGGGCCAGGGGAATTCCTGGGCTAACGCAGGGCCCTGTCAAAGTTCTAGGTCAAGGAAGGTAGATCCCTCCCAGTCCCATCCCAATCCCCTACTCCCCTCTGTTCTCTTAGCATTCTACTCCCAGCTGCAGGAGACTCTGCCCTCAGTTTTGTGACCATCCCTTTGCCTGCCAGCCCAGCTCCACCATAGTTTTTGATCTGTGTCCTTTTGAATGCCTGCTTTTGTCCATTTTGGGCATCTGACTGCTACATGTTGGATTATTTGGAAGATATGATGCTGGGCCTTCTGGCCTTGGGGCAGCTGAGCATGGTGGAGATCCAAGTTTGGCTGCACCAATGGCCTGGGTCTGCGTCTGTGTCCAGCTTTCCTGGTCACCAGTGGGTGCAGTACTGGCATGTGTGAGTGATGAGGCTGGCTGTCTGACTCAGCCAACCTATCACCAGCCTCACTCTGCAGGCCAGAAAGATGGGTCGTGATGGTCTAGTGAGTGGGCCAGATGTTAGCAGAACTCTACCCTGTGTCTGGATTGCTGCCCATTTCAGAGATGCCCAAATGAGACTCCTAACATGTCAGATGGGACCTGGCTGGTGGGAGCCACCGCCCAGAAGCCAGACCAGGAGGCTGCTATATCAGAGCTCCACTCCCACAAGCCGGGAACAGTGGGCTTCCAAGAGGCAGTGGCTCCTCTGCACAAGAGGGTGACTGGGATGGGCTGTGCTCTGCAGCCTGAGGCCAGCTGAGCCAAGTCATCCACAGAGCCCAGTGTCTGCCATGTGCCAGATGCTGTTGTGCCAGCCAGTGGCAGCCTGGTCACAGTGGCAGATGTGTCTTGGACTGACCACAGATGGCTCTGTGCTGCTGGACCAGCCAGCATGAATGCTCTATCCTAGAATAATAGATTTCATAATTAATGTATTATTAGTGGTATAATTATTTGAGCCCTTGCTGTGTGTGTGCTAGGCCTGTGAGGTGAGACTTTCACACTTATTTGAGAAAGGAGGATACTGAGGCACAGCAAAGTGACATAACTTGCTCATGGTGAAGCCAACACTGGGATTCTAATGGGGAAAAAAATAGCTGTCTTATTTGCTATGGTTAGTTCCAGCTCTTTTTCTATTTTACCTGGGCAGGTTACTTCATCTTCCCATTGCTCACTATTATCATCTACAAAGTGTTCCAATGTCTATTGTGTCACTTGCTCTTCTCAAAAGTCTTGTGCCAGCTATTGTGGCCAGTTTGCAGCTAAGGAAATTGAGGCTTAAAGAGGGGCAGCTATAGGGCCTGAGTGGCCCTGGGACCTGACCGTGATCTTGGGTCTTCTGTGTTTGCCCCTCAGGAACCAGTGACGACCTGTTCCCAGACTCGGAAGGGCGAGAGGGCTCAGAGGCAGTGGAGGAGCACCAGTTTTCAGACCTGGAGGACTCAGACTCAGACTCAGACCTGGAGGAAGACGAGGATGAAGACGAGGAGGACAGCCAGGACGAGCTGTCCAGACCGTCCTCAGAAGCACCCCCACCAGGCCCACCAGCTGCACTGCAGGCAGATTCCTCACCCATTCAGGGCCCTCTGCCCCCAGATGCCACCTCTGGCAATGAGGGTACACGCGGCAGCTCAGTCTCAGAAGCTGAGCACTTGATAGCCAGCAGTTGCTCCCCATCCAGCCACAGCATCCTGTGCCTCCCCAGGCTGGGACTGGCCCCTTCGGGCCCTGTGGAGAAGGAGACAGTCTCGGCCCTGAGCTCCAAGTCCATGTTGCCGAGAAGACCATGGTCCCCAAGCAAAGAAGCAGTCAGCCGCCTACCACTAGCCCGCAAACACTCACTAACCAAAAGTGACTCATCTCCCCAGCAATGTTCACCGGCCCGAGAACCACAGGCCTCAGCCCCGAGCCCACCTGGCCCCCAAATGAGCTCTGGAAAGGACACAGGCCCTCTCCTTTGTGGGTCTCCAAGACTTGAGCTGTCTCCTCTCACCACCCGGCCCCCTCGAGCACATATTCCCCCCAGACACTCACCCACCAGGAGATGGTCTCCGGGTCAGGCCGAGTCACCACCACGGTCAGCGCTGCCAGGGAAGTGGGCCTTGGCGGGGCCGGGCAGCCCCTCCACGGGCGAATGTGGCCCAGGCTTGGGGCTAGCCCCGCAGGTTCTCTTCCTGCCCACGCCTCTACCTCACAAGTTTCTCAGCAGAAGCCCCGAGCCCTGCGCCTCCTCATGGGTAAGTTCTTGCCCCCATGATGGCTGGGCCACTTCTCCCCTGTTGAGGGGGTAGGGTTTGCAAGTTCACACTTTCTAAAGTATCACACCTGGAGCCAGACAACTCCACCAGCTCAATAATTACTAATAGTTTATCAAACGTTTATTAGGCACCTACTGGGCCAAGCACCATGCTGGGGGACCTATATCAACTAGTGTATTAAACTTCATTTTAACTTCAGAATCAGCAGAGCATGGACTTTGGAGTCCATGGATTCTGAGTTCTATCACTTACCAGTGGTGTGGACTTGGATGTGGGTGTAAATACTTGTATAATTAATTCCATGCCCACCTGCCCCATTGTTGTCTCTATATATCCATCAAGCAGATGGCAGAGCTTAACCAAAATCATCACCAGCACCACCATCACTGTCAACAGTGTCCTCAGAGACACCACAGCCAATGCATTCCTGTCAAACTATCAGCATGGTCCCCATCACCTCTGGCATGATTGCACCATTGCTGCCACCCAATCAGTGTGACAGTGGTGTTACATCACCAGCACCCTCTCCCTGTGGCTGCCATGCCACCACACTGACAGAACCATCATTGTCAGTTGACCTCTAACTCCCAACACCTTTCTGTCCTCATGTTATCATGACCCAGCCACATCACTCTGTCACTGAAGTATCACTGATCTAGGAATCTGTCCTCGATTTTTAATTTTGGGATCACATTGAAACTCCTAGTGGTGGAGCTCACAGCCAAGAGTGAAGCTGGTTTGAGATCATTTTAAGAACAGGAGGGGCAGCAGAAGCACGATATAGGGCCGTGGGCATGGGTGGCAACAGGGCCTCACCTTGTCCAAGCACCTGCCTCCTCCAAGGACACATGTCCTGGCCAGAGGCATGGAGATCATGAGGCCTGAATGTATGCTAATGGTTACCTCTGGGCTGGAGAGGGCTTATGCCAGAGAGGGCATCTGGCTCAGGGTGGTGCTGTGGGCAGCATCAAGAACTCTGGTCTGCCCAGCTCAGCTGAGACTCAGGACTCACACTGTGGTCTCTGGCCTGTCCCCCTCACCACCTCCACATGCCCAGGGGCCTGGGTTTTCCACATGCCCAGCATGTAACCTTGACCTGATTCTGTCTTGTTTTCTGATCCCAGCAGAAGGCCGAGCCCCGAAGTCCCTCCTGCTCGCCCGGCCCTGCTCATCGTCTCTCCTCTAGACCCTTCTCTGCTCCCCATGACTTCCACAGCCACACCCCAGCCCGGACAGAAGATAACGTCTTCAGCCACCTGCCTCTGCACTCCCAGCATTTGGCCCGCGCCCCATGTCCCTTGATTCCCATCGGTGGGATCCAGATGGTGCAGGCCCGGCCAGGAGCCCACCCCACCCTGCTGCCAGGGCCCACTGCCACCTGGGTCAGTGGCTTCTGCGGGGGTGGCAGCGACCTGACAGGGGCCCGGGAAGCCCAGGAGCGAGGCCGCTGGAGTCCCACTGAGAGCTCATCAGCCTCCGTGTCACCTGTGGCTAAGGTCTCCAAGTTCACACTCTCTTCGGAGCTGGAGGGCAGGAACTACCCCAAGGAGAGAGAGAGGACAGGAGGAGGCCTAGGCAGACCTCCCGATTGGGAACCCCAAGAGGCCAAGGCACCCACAGAGCCAGCGCCCACACATAGCCCATGCGCCCCGCCACCCCAGGGCCACCGGGCAGCGCAATCCTGGAGCCCCTCTTTGGAGTCTCCGCACACACTGGTCAACCCTGAGGCTTCTGCCACCCCACAACTGGACCGCAGCAGCTCTGTGGGCTGCTTGGCGGAGACTTCCGCTAGCTTCCCAGCCCGGAGGAGGAACCTTTCTGGGGAACCCAGGACCAGGCCAGGCTCTCCACAGCCCTCAGGAAGTCGGGAGCCCACGGCACCTCCACACCAGCCTGAGGACTTGGGCCCCTCAAAGCACTTAGCCTCTCTTTGACCGCTTCAGCATCTGGCTTCTGGTGTTCAGCAACAGACATTTCCAGCCAACTTCCTCGAGTCATCCTGCTTTCATGGGACCCACTTCCATCTGTCCCTCTGTCCAAGCAGTTTCTGCCCAGCCCCCATCTGCTGTATCTTCCCACGTATGCAGTTATCTGTGCCTTTTTCTATACCTTTTGTTGCTTGAAAAGAAACAAATCACACACATACATAAAAAAAAAAAAACTCGAGGAATGTGAGGCTGTGAATAGTCTGTACTTTCTGGGGAGAGGCTGTAGGTGGAGCCTCCTTACCCTGCAGTCAGCAGCCACCTCACCCCCAAGGCTGGCAGACGAAAAGGGGATGCACTGAGGGAGAGAAAAACTTTTAAAATATGTAATGAAATGTAAAGGCAAGCACTCCTCTGTACAGATGTTTATGGTTTCTATTTATTGCCTCTTTATCCTGCCCTAACAGGTGGCTGCTCCTCTCTGCCACCAAAAAGGCCAGTGTCCTAAGGCAGAGGGACATAAACACACCCACCTAGGAAGACCCCAGAAAAATCATCTCTTCCTTTTTTTCTTTTTTGATGCAAGAAAACATTACTTTTCCTAGGATTTCAACACAAAATTACAGGAGCAAGTAGAAGGTAGGAGCTGGCTGCTTCCCTTAGGGCTCTCAGATACCCTGGTAGTCTGATTTGTGGGCCCACCCTGGCATTTGACAGGTGGACAACCATCCCATCCTCCCAACCCTGGTTTTGTGCCTCCCTTCTGCACCCCAACCCTGCCCCCGGGGCTGGGAAAGAAGCCCTGACCTACTGTTTCCCTGTTCCCAAGCAGATGGCCCAGGCCATAGGCTGCCCTCTCTATTCTAAAAACTATCTGGTGGGAGCTACCAGGGCCTGTTTGTTGACTTAAACCTCTTCTAAAAAGAGAGAAAGAAAGAGGATGACATTCAATTCTTTCTCCAGCCTTCTTCTGATTCACTTGACCCAAAGGATTAAATTGTCCTAAATCATTTGGATTTTTCTTCAAAGCAGTCAGAACTGGCTAGTGCCTCTTCCTTAGACCCATCTCTACCTAAAGCTGCCCTGCACTTCCTTCAGGCAAAACCTACTTTGTAAGAAACATAATATGACCAGAAATTTAAATCCCCATTTGAGATATGGCACTTGAACTCTAACATGTTCACTGTACCCTGGGAGAGGTAGTATTTCCCCAATCTTCCATAAACGATGTCCTTTACTTTCTACAAGGGGGAGAAAGTGCAGGAACCAGGGTCTCGTTTATGTAGCCTGGGTGCTGATGGCACCTTGTGCAGAGCAGCGTTCTCTCTGGCCTGCCCACAGTCCTCAGTCAGGTTTTTGGAAGAGCCAAGCGCTTGCCCAAGGGCTCCTGAGCTGTCCAAGTTGTTTAAAAGGATGCAGTAGGTGGGAGGGTCAAGACCCTTCTGCAAGCTCCCTGTGCCTAGCCATACTTCCCTCTTCTGCCAGCTCATGGCTTTTCCTTTGCTTGGCCCCAGCTGGATGGGCACACCAGCCACAGGTCCAGACTATAGTCAGACAACCTTATTTACCCCTGAGGCTCCGCTGTGCAACATGGTCCTGGGAAGTCTGGTCAGCCAGGAGCTCCTGACTGCTTGACTCAGAATCCAGGGCTCTCATCCACCCTGGGAGAAACCAGTAAGCCCAGCCTGGACCATACTGGTGCTGTTTTGGCCTGGTGAGAAGTGGGCAGGAGGCCAGGGCTTTCCTTGCCCTTGTCTTCCCTGCCTTCTGGCCCTTCCCCATGGGGCTGCCCACAGACGGGACACTTCAAGGGCTGAGGCCTGGGAGTTGGATAAAGGGCATTGCTTTAGCCCAGGTTGGACAGCTTTCTGGGCAAGATCTTCCAGCTCTAGGCCTACAAGGCAGCAGACTGGGGACTGTGCTGAATCAACCCCCAACTTCAGGGGGTGGCCATCCTTCACCCATCCTGCACCCCAGCTCACCTGGGCACTGCCCCCTGCACTCAAACACCCACCCACAAAAGTTTTCCTTCTGGGAAGCCTAGTCATCGACAGTTGCCAATAGGAGAGAGTCCCTATAGTCAGGGGGCCCTCAAGCTCTGGCAAAGGAGAAGTAACTAGGGCCACCAGTCACTAGAAACCTAGTTCTAAATGCTCAGGGGGAATCTGGCCAAAGGGCTACTGCCCCATCCAGAGGGATGGAATCCATGCCCCCAACCTGGGGTGTATGTCACTGGGCAGATCTAACCCTCTTCCAGACCCTTCAAGATGCTGACTCCACTCGTTTCCCCCCCCGGGCCTTCTGCCCCGCTGCCAACCACTTCTGCAGTTCTAATTTGCCTATAATGGTATTGTCCCTGTTAAGAGAAGAATGGAGAAAGCGGTGGCTGATTTATTGACACAATCACCTGTTCTGTGCTCTGTTGAGATGACTTTTCCTTGGTACACACTAGCTCTGGTCCTTGGGTGTTAGCAGTGTGGGGAAACAAACTGGCCTTCTGCTAGGAATTCCAATCCACCTGCCGCCTAGGCCTGTCCTCCAGGATGCCCTTCACCCTGGCACTCTCAGAGTTATTCTGGGTACTAACCTATTCCCCTCCAAAGGCAGCCTGCCCTGCCTGGGTCCCAACCACGGCTCACACACCGGCCTCAACCCCTGGGACCTCCGGGAGCCTAACAGCAAATCTCACCCCCACAACACCCAAATCCCAGACCCAGAAGTCCCCCCACTTCCCTCTTTTGGGAAAGTCTGAAAGAATTAGCTTCTGGATTCCTCTACCCCCTGCTCCATTCCCCCCACACCCCCAGCCCTTCTGAAGAACAACAAACAAGTATCTGAGCTGAATTTCTCTCTAGTCCTTTTTCCAGACAAATCCTTCTTAAAATAAAAATCAGTCCTAGCTGAGCAGGGGAACTTGAGGACCAATCTGCCATGTTGATGGGGGTGAGGGGGAGGAGAAAGCTCCTGAAGGCCTGTTCCACAAAATTCTGCTTATGTGTTGTGAATCCAGTCTGCTTTCCATTAGAAAACTGCTTCGGCACTTGTGATCACTTTACTAAATCTAGTGTTTATACGAAAAGAAAAGAAACATGCAGGCAAATGTAAGATATACGCTTTCTCTAAGATAAATATTTGCCTTTTTTTTCTAAAAGGTATACGTATTCTGTATGTGAAATTGTCTGTAGAAAGTTTCTATGTTCTTAAATGGCAATACATTCCAAAAATTGTACTGTAGATATGTACAGTGATTGCACTGGGATGGGGTAGTTTTGCCTGTAATTTTATTTAAATGCCAGTTTCTACACTTGCATCTTGCAATGTTGGTATGGTATATATCAGTGCAAAAGAAAAAACAAAAACAAAAACAAAAATCCTTGCAGGTCTAAAGCACAGAGTCTGATGTACAAAAGGAAAAAATGCTCAGTATTGATGTGTGTGACCTTTGTTGTAAATTACATCTGTACTGTGAATGAGAAGTTTTTACAAGTATAATAATTGCCTTTATTACAGCTGTGGCTGAGTGTTCAGCCTGAGGATATTTTTTAAAAAAAATAGCACGTTGGAATAAATTTGAAAATCCCAACACAGCCTTGCTTGCCTGGCTCATGGTTTTTCTAGAAGGTTGCATAGCATCAGAGTTGGAAGGACAGGTGGTATCCCAAGCGTTAATTTTACTACAGAGCAATGAGGCCTAACGATGGAGTCACACAGCCTAGGACCCTTTTGCAGCCCTTCACTTCCAGGCCTGGTAAGGAAGCACCAGCCACATTGCCACGGGGTTTAGGATCCGTATTATTGCCTAGAGCTGCTGTAACAAATTACCACAAACTAGGTGGCTTTAAACAACAGAAATGTATTCTCTCACAGTTCTGGAAGCCTGAACTCTGACAATGGAGGTGTTGGCAGAGTTGGTCCTTTCTGAGGCTCAGAGGGAGAATCTTCCATGCCTCTCTCTGACCTTCCTGGGCCTACAGGCAATTCTTGACCTTCATATGGGCATTTTCTCTGTGTGTCTCTTCCCTTCTCTTGACATATCATTTTATTTGAGGCCTATCCTAATCCAGGATGATCTCATCTTGAGATCCTTAACTTAATTGCATTTGCAAAAACCCTTTTTCCAACAGGACCACATTCAACAGACTCCAGGGATTAAGACATGGACTTAACTTTGGGGAGGCACCATTCATCTCACTACAGGATGAGTAGTGAGTGAGCTGGTCCTTGAGTGCTAGCAGTCGGTGAGGCACAGCCACTTATTGCCTGTGTGACCTTGGGCAAGGCGCCTAAACTCTGTGCCTGATTCCTAATCTGCTGAGGGGAGGGCAGTGACCTGTATATGTAAGGATTGAATGAAATGGTACATACAGGGTGGCTAATGGAGCTTTGAGCAGGTCACATGGCCCAGTGCAGGCCAGTGGGGAAGGAGAGCCCCCAGCAGCTCCAGCAGAAGAAGATTAGCACAGTATGTGGCAGGCCCTGGGTCCAACATTTCATAAGCCAGGAGGAAAACAGAAGCTCCAAAGGATCTTCACCAGCCAAAGGTACACAGCTAGTTAGTGGCAATATGAGGACCAGGACTTTACTGTGGCGCCAATGTAGTCCTTCAGGAGCCTGAGTTCCTCCCTTCTCCCCACCCTACACTGGGGCCTCAGGGGAGCCCTGGGTCAGCCTGATCAGCCACTATCACCCAGAGTCCAGCCAGGGGTCTTCCCTTTAGCAGCTGCCTGGCTTGTCAGCAATGCCATCTGGTAGCCACATTGGGTCCCTGTGCCTGATGTCCCAGGTGCCAGGGCTAACCAGCAGACGTCAGGGCTTGGATTCCAAAACCTGAGAGCACAAAAAGTGCTTGTCAATTCTTTGGAAGATCAGCCTCCTACCCTCTCTGTCTACCACTGGGCTCAAGGCTGACCAGTCGTCATTCACACATCACTGGTCACCAGGCCATCCCTGGCTGCTCTCTAGAGTTCACAGAGCGCTTTCCCTTTAGGCATGGATCAGGACAGGGTACACACCCCCACTTTGCAGGTGAAAGGTAGAGCCCACGGTCATGCCAGGGCCACTAACTCTTTGCACTTAACCCAGAACTTCAGAGGGCATTGGCCATTGTCTATAGCTACCA